TTTCTTCTTCTTCTTCTTCTTCTTCTTCTTCTTCTTCTTCTTCTTCTTCTTCTTCTTCTTCGATAGGTGAAGGGTGAGAGTGGAGAAGAAAGGAGAAAAAAGGTCAAAAAGAGAGATATTACCTACCCTAAGATAAGAGGTGTGGCTGAAAGACAGCAGTAAGAAGGAGCCAAGGAGTAGCAGAAGAAATGCAGCAGAAAGAGTCAGGAGCAAGAGGGGGATGGTGGAGGAGGGAGGGATCAGAAAGTGGAGACGAAACCAGACGACAGAACATGATTAGAATTAGAGAGAAAGAAAGGTAAAAGGAAAACATTTTTAGAGAAGAACATTTCCCGTCGCTGTCAGGTTTCGAACCCGGGGCCTATTGAATGAGAACTGAACACTGTAGCTCTAGACCACAAGAGCCCCACAGAAAGATTTACGGACAGACCTACACTAGGGTACACAGTCACTTACCTCTGAACTTGACAGCGTGAGTGTACACCACCAGGTCGGAGAGTTCCTTGGCAATCTGGCTTGCTTTCTTCGGCTTCGTCTTCCGAGGTACCTATCAAATATAATTACAAAACGTACATCAGCAGCAGCAGCAGCAGTAGCAACAACAACAACAACAACAACAACAACAATAACAACAACAAGAACAGCAGCAGTAGTAGCAGCAACAGCAAAAACAAAAAAACAACAACAACAAAAAGCAGCAACAACAATAACAACAGAAACAACAACAACAACAACAACGGTTACAGCAAAAAACCCAAACAAAAACAAACAAACAACAACAAAAACAACAACAACAACAATGAAGACAACGACGACAACAACAACAGCAGCAGCAACATCAGCAACAACAGCAACGGCAACAACAACAACAACAACACCAAACGACCACAAAGTAACAACAACAACAGCGATAACAATAACAACAAGAACAACATGTGTAACAATATTTCCACCAAAAAAACGCCATTCTAACAAAGCAATGTTTTACGTCTTGCTGCAAGATTTTAAAAAATCCCATCAACGTACTTTTCATCAAAATTCTAACTTTTCTTTAAAAAAAGAAACGGAGCAAATTGTGCAGAGTTGTACAATACGAACTGGAATAATATGTGATTATCCATGACAAGCAAGCATAAAACTAATTATTAATTTCACAGCCTAATTGAGTTAAATCCTCAAGGTTTTTTTTACCTCCTGACTGAAGCCAATAGCGTGTGCAGTCACGATATTAAAGGAAATTAATTAGGTATTTCTCTCCGCAATCGTTCATCTGTCCATCAAATAGAACAAATGATAACAGAGCACACGTGTATAATATTGCTCGTGTATTTGGTCGAAACAGCTTGCTCATTATTTACGTCTGTGCTCTTGCTTGTGCGTTTGTTTCTGTGTACGTTCGAATGTATTTATTATACGTGTTTGTGCAAAGTTGCGTGTGTGTGTGTATCTCTCTCTCTCTCTTTCTTTCTCTCTATCTCTCTCTCACTCTCTCTCTCTCTCTCTTTCTGTATGTGTGTGTGTATGTGATATTGTGATATATATATATTTAGAGAGAGAGAGAGAGAGAGAGAGAGAGAGAGAGAGAGAGAGAGAGAGAGAGAGAGAG